CAATGGCTGTGCATCTTTGATCAATGTGATCAGAATTGCTGATCATATTTCAATCATAGTCTTTTTATTTTTAGCATGTTCTCTCATAATAGTATTGGCACATTTAGGGCCAAGTGCTGGGACCTCACATGCAGCCTAACCCCTCTGGTATTAGTCTGTTACTAGGCCATGCACTCTGCTCATTGTTACTTCAGTTTAGCATTATGATAGCTAGGTTTCTGTGCACTCTAGTCCTATTTTCTGTTACATGCTTACTGGACTGGAATGCAGTCCATATATTTGCAATTTTCACAATTTTACATGCCTGAACAAGGAGAGGGCATGTCAATGGTAAGAGGCATAGCAGAGAGAGTTATCTCTGTACTCAATTTGTCAGGTGTACTGGTTGAATTGGACCATATACTTCATGCTCTGATCTCCATCATGCATCTGAAGGTGTTCTAATGCATCTTTGGCATCTCCAATGGCATCAAAGAGGCTGAAGTTGCTATGAAGCTCATCTAAGAAAGCCACATAGGAGAATTGCCAGGCTGGTGGATTCTATGGATTGGAGTTAAGAATGTCTGGTTTGAACCAGTTAAGCACAGTGCCAGTCAGGAAGGAAATTGCATAGTTGACTTTGTTAGCATCTGTTGCAAATGCAGTAGGTCTGTTGTTGAAGTTCAACTGAAGGGAGATGATGAAGGCCTTCAGTTTGTGAGAGTCAGAGTCATTAAATAGTTCTGGTTCCTTGACTTTAGTATGAATAGTGGCTGGTTTAGGGTTATTGAGGAAAGCAGAGACTCCTTGTAACAGGTTTATGAATTCTAGAAACATGTCCTGCTGGTTTTGATTATTGCTTCCTGCAGGGCTGTCAGAGCTGCTTGAGCCATTGGGACCACCTAGTCTGCCTGGTCCTCCTGGTCCATCTGACCCTCCTGGCCCTTCTGGAAAAGGGTTTGGTGGATTACCACCTGGTTTTCATCAGATAGAAGTATGGGTGAGGGTGTCTTTATCTCTGCCTTCTGAGTCTAAGCTGTCTGAATTCCCATGCATGTTGCCCAGGGATAAGAGGTCTATTGGAGGGTCAATTCAAGTGCCATATATCAGGCTGGCCTGTTGGGCTCCATTGGTTGGGATGCTGGTGGCATCAAAAGGGTTAGGGGAATCATCATAATTAGATTAGTGAGCAGTGAAGCTAGAGTGATTGTAGGTTTCCCTATAGGAAGATTATCCTCCACTGGAGGCCAATCTGAAAAGGCCTGATTGTTTCTTTGAGGTGGAGGCCAGGATGTCTTCCATAAAAAAACATGTTGTGATGGGTAGGCTGAGTTTGTTTGGGATCAGTTTCTGTGGATTGGGTAAATATGGTGGACATGATAAAAATTTTTGACTCAAGAGTTTGAGTTCAAATATAGGAACATGCTAATCAAGTGGCTTTGAGTGTGCATTCAGAGACTGGTTGAGTGTGTGGGTGTCAATAAAGCTATTGGCAATGTCACCCTTGAGTCAGAGTCCAAGGATTTGAACAGACAGAACAGAGTTCCATCAGAGAAGTGAAGAGGGGTATCCTTCAGAGCAGAATCTAATGGACAAGGTAGGGGGAGTTGAAGTGAGTACAAAGTGTAGATGGCTGTCCAAGTTGATATTTGAACTGAGTAGTTACAATGATAATACATGGCTTTATATACTAATAGTAGCTAATTCCAAGTCAGATTCTATTGGGTTCTGATGTCAATATTCACTACCAAGTTCAGAGTCTAGATATTATAATGTGAAATACAGATGTGAAATGATAATGGTGAAAATGAAATTAATAGGTAATGGGAAGCAGCCAGAGTCCAGTGGGTTTTGGTGATTGAATTTGTGATTGGTTGAGATGATGCAGAGGCCAGTGGCATGCATGTAACAGATATAGGGGTTCTAGCAGAAGGAATTGTGAGAGTCTGAGATGGGGATGGTCCTTTTTCTACAGCACAGAGGGTCACAGCATGTGTTTGGAGGTGAGAAATGAGGTCACTGAATATAGCCATCTGATACAGGCTTGCAAGAATAGGCATCAATGATCTGTAGGAGAAATAGAGTGAATGATTATCCCTTTGAACTCCTGGTCACTCAGAGCTGTCACACAGAGATTATTAACAGCACATCATTTTATATACAGGTCAGCAATGTGAGCATTTATATTGCTATTCCCATCAAACTTTGTGGATCTTAGGGATACTTCAGCCTCTGACAGTACTATGTCAGTCTTTTTTGCATGCTCAGCACAAATGGATTCCCAGCATTCTTTTGCTGTTCCATCTGTTTTGACCTCTAGTCTAATAGAGTCAAGAATGTTGAGCACAATGTGGAAGTGGAATAGTTGGTCATGAAAAACCCATTCATCATAAGATGGGAAGAAAGAGTAGATGAGAGTGGGGTCTGATGGTAATAGTACAGTTGTAAGTGTGGTTATGGTAGCCCTGGGGATGGTGGGGTGAGTAGTGGTTCCTTTAATGTATCCTCATAGCTTTTTTCCTTTTACCAACTCAGTTATTTGTAGCTTACAGAAGGCATAGTTCTTCCCATTGAAATAGCTACTCATGTCTAGAAAGATTGTGACTCCTGTCTGGCATTGACAACATTGTTTAGAGGTGTGGTAATGTAGTTGGAGTGGTTGGTTGATTTGTACTCTTTGCTGCACATTCTTATTGACTGAGGCTTTAGGCAACAGGACCCATAACCTATTGATAGAAGAATATAAGTAGAGTTTGATGAATAAGAGTGAGTAATATAGTAAGAGGCATAGTAATAATATACATACCTCAGCCAGGTGGAGCATAGGTGAAATGACTGAGGTATATGAGTATCTATGGCCAGGCTATATAGGTGGTCAAGTAATGACAGAAGTTGTATATGTATATGGTAAGTAGACATGAGTGATGATCAAAAAGAGAGGGTAATGGTATACACATCAATATCCTTCAATGTTTCTCTGTTTAGTCTACTCTTAGTGTCATCAAGGCTTCCTTGAAGAATGAGAGTCCAATGTTCATATTCAAGAGATGGTTGCCAGCTTGGACTCATCTCCAACCAATGATGATTATCATATTCTTAACATTGGAACAATGGAAGAATGGGATTGATGTCTCAAGAAGACAGGGGTATACCTTCCTGTGAGGTTCAATAGATGTGAAGTGTGCTACTAATATTAGCAATGTATACCAGAGTGGACATGAATCTTGTGAATTTCAATCAATCAAATGTCAAACTCTCAGATGTCTGGAGCACACTTAATCACATGAAAATTTTGTCTCATAAGTCACAGTTACAGTATTTATAAAGAGAGGGACCTCAAAGCCCCTGCCCTGAACTTTGTCCATGACTACCATGACTACCTTACAACCTACAACATGCAGTTTCAATACCTAGATTACTGCCAGAACTCACAGATCTAATAGTTGACATTCTTTCCGATGATGTTCCCTCTCTCACAGCTTGTGCATTGTCCTCTCACCAACTTCTCCACTGCAGCCACTATCACCTATTCCACACCATACAATTCGACTTCCTTCCAAATCAGTCATTCAATCACTGTGAAATTTTCTCAAAGAAGTGCCAAAATGTGGTGCCACTTGTAAGGACCCTTACCTTGAGCAAAAATTCCAACTGGTACAATGTCCCCTCTCATCCATGGATTGCCTCTGAACTGCAGCTGCCTATTGTCTTTGCAATGATGAAGAATTTGACATTCTTGCATCTTGTTCAGGTGGAACTAGTCAGCATTAATATCATCTGGCCTCAAGTCAAGGAATTGGAAATGAATCACTGTTCTGTGATGAACCTTGGCACCTTCCTTGGTGGGTTCCACAAATTAAACAAGCTAGCACTATGTGACATAGACATTGTTGAAGAGACATCCTCATTATCTGAAGTTTCTCTCAACATTGAAGAATTAGTGATTACCCAAGTCAACATCCAATTGGACATGAATACCATCAAGTGCCTCCTCCCACTCCTTCTCATGCCACCCCATATTCAATGACTTACCTACCCAATTTACTATCCAGAGCAGAACATCCCACAATACAATGTGATTCCTTATATGCACCTGGATGAGTTATTTCTAGTAGGTGCCTTCATGCCAAAGATACCCATTCTGGATATCCAAAACATTACTAGGCTTTGTTTGCTTATGACCATCCCCTGGCACTGGTATCAGGCAGATGCATGCAAAGACTATGATGAGCTAACAGATTGGCTTATATACATGCTACCCAAAGCTCAAGGGGGGGTGCTTAAAGGAGGTTGCATTGGAGTAAGACCTGATTGGCATATCTGGGAGTCCAGACAAGTGGAAAGAGCTCGATGCAGTTCTATCAAAGATGGAATTCAGCAAGGTTGAGCTCATGTTCAGGGCAACCCCAGAAGACTGGGATAGAGAAGGAGAAGGAGAAGAGAAAGCCAAGTGGCCATTGTGGGAAGGCAAGCTGGAGGGATTGATGTTCAAATGTGCTGCATTCTTTGAACAAGTTGAAAGGCATGGGTTGTTGACAGTCTCCAGACGATACCTAAGTTAAGTTCGTATGTTTGCTACTATCTAGACATCGCTATTGCGTTTTGGACATCGAATCAGTATACAGGTTACAAATAATACAACTTGCATCTTTTATGTCCCAAGATTTCGTCATGGAGAAATAATTCTAAGATTTACTTGGCCGTTGCAGAACTCAATGGCCGATGATGATTCAGCACCGGAAATAGCAACCACTGCGACCAGTGCCGTCTGTACATTGCTTTCCCTTTTTACCTTCGTTTAGGACCCTCATTTTCTTCTATTCGTCCTCATTTTCCGTGCTCGTTCTCGGTGTACCAGCGAGAGTACATACGCAGGTAATGCTGACTCAAAATTTGCGTCAAACCTTGGCAAATCGCCTCACGGAGGCCACCATATGTCTTTCTTCCGGCGTTCTAATCAGCGAGAATCCGAATATACGACGAAGATAACGACGAGACTATTGATCCAGAACTATGCCTTCGAACCTTCTGGCGAGCCGAGGAATGTCTATGTAAATTATCCTTTGGGAGTCCTGGAAGTCAGTGTTCACGGGGAACCTATTGCTCGCTATGAGAGAAACAAGGTCCGGACTACCAATTTATGCGAGCAATTTAGGCGGTGTGTTATTGTACTTTCTATGCCTCTTTGTCGTGTTTGCCTATTTATTCTGGGTAGCAAACCTATTTTCCCTTACCCTCGTCGTGATTCAACGTCAGCGCTCGTGTTCGCATTTTTATGCTCCACACCACTAACGATGCCCCGCAGGTTCCTTCTTGTTTGACGCAGCGTCGGGCGCCATCTTGGTCCTACCCCTTGCATTTATTCTCACCGTCACTGACATCAAAGATGCTGTGGAAGACTATCGCCGTGAGACTCTCGACGAAGAGGTGAAGACGTCGGCGACAACAAAATCAGGCTCGTGGCGTAATGTCAACCAACCGACAGACCCCCGGCCCTGGTTCGAAAAGATGCTGGGTATCAACCCACCGGGGAAAGTTACTAAAGGCGTACGCAAACTTCGTGACCGAGAGGCTAATGAGGCTGGCCATGGCGTTCGTGTTATGCTTAGCAAAACCAGCGATACCTCCACCACGAGTTTTGATCTTGATCATGCACGCTCAAGTTCTGGTTGGCAGTTGGATGATATCCAGAGGGCCGTTTCCCATAGTTACCCTCCGGACGCATCATCGCTTTCTGATACATCAACGCAGCGTAATTCTACCACGGAATTCCGGCAATTGAAGCAGAATGATGACTCCCAATCTACGCTAGGCGTAATTGATTCGAAGCGGCGAAATGGAGGTTCTGCCCGATGGGAAAGGACGTTATGGAAGAAGCTGGAAGTTGGAGACATTGTTCTCCTACGGGAGAACGACCAGGTTCCTGCTGACATTGTCGTTCTCTCGACATCGGATCCTGATGGCATGTGTTATTTGGAGACAAAGAACTTGGACGGTTAAACTAGTCTAAAACCTCGAAAATCCATCAAAGCCACTTCGTCCATCGCCTCTGAAGACAATATCGAGCGGTCGTCATTTTATCTTGACTCAGAACCACCACACCAGAACGTCTATCTTTACCATGGTGTTCTTCGACACAAGGATACTGTCACGGGCGAAAAGAGGCAAGAGTCGGTCATGATCAATGAAATGCTCCTTCGTGGATGTGCAATCCGTAATGCGACTTGGATCATTGGGCTGGTCGTTTTTACAGGTGCAGATACCAAGATCATGTTGAAAGGAGGCGCTACGCCGTCGAAACGTTCTAACCTAGAGATGGAGACCAATTTTAACGGCATCGTCAACTTCACACCTTTCTTGCAGAATATTACCCCAGTACTAAAATAAGAGAACAACATTGTAAGTACTCAGTCGGCACAGTATGGGTGAAACCACCGAGGATGCGGAAGTAACCACGTGGTATATATACGTCGGTGTGAAGTATAGGAGCTCGGGTAAACGAAAGAGTCCATAGGCGGCGGTGTACAATATGGGTAATATAGGCGGGAAAAGTCGGGTAGCACGTGTCTCGTTCAACAAATACCCTTACTCATCGACCTCCTTCCCATCGAACTTCTGCGATATTCTCTAATATTCTGAGGCAATATGGAGACACGTAACTCCAATTCGTCTTCGACTCGCCCAATTTCTGGTCGTCTACCTTCATTGGTGCGACACTGAAAATCATTGGCGCCTGTGACTCATGCGGGTCGTAGAGCGCCGGACATTTTCATGCATGTCCTCAGCGAAGAATCCTGTACGAATGAGTGCGTCCAAATGCCCATCGAAGCATGTGTGGAAAACGCCTCTCATTGGCGGTCGCTCGATGTGACCATCCCCTTCTCTGGATTCCTCTCCATGACTCGACAGGACAGATTGGACCTCCCCTTGCTCGAATATCTTACCATCAGCTCATGCTGGAGCGACATGTCAGACTTGAACAAAGCGTCACGGTTCATCTGATTTCGGTCGAAGGTCTTGATAAGGCATTCTTGTTCAGGCGCCAACGGGCTGTTTCGTGACTTGAATAATACCAGTACCGAATCGATTGAATATGTGGTCCAAACGCAAGTCTCAGTTCCCAGTCTGAGAGCACATAGCTGGTAGGACACTGATGATTTGCAAAATAAAAATAAAAGAAGCGAACTGCGGTAGTGCGCCGGTGCATGGGCGGCAACTGGATTCGAACCAGTTTCACTGGGATTATTCTGTTCAGCCGAACGCGCCCGCCATCTTGTCGACATTGAGCGAATGTTCCAATCCGAGAAGCAGCCTCGAGTTCGATATCGTACTTGATAAAGTATAACGTAAACTAAGGAAGATGCAAGTGACGTCGTGTATAACTGAAAGTATTCTTGCGCAAGCTGTAACTAAACAGTACTCCTAGGCCCATTCCTGAGCCTTGGACACGAACTGGAATTGAACGAGTTGCGCCCGACCTAATTTGATAAGAAAGCCCTACAAGGTCCCATTCTCGGTAGATTGGCCGTCTTTGTGTCTGGAGATTCATACGGATCGATTGTAGAGAGGAACAGTGTACTTTTCTTGATGACATCAGTGGCCAGCCAGGGACCTTTTACTCATGTATAAAGGAGTGGGATGGGGGGATCACGAGGTAGATGACTAATCCCCATGATTAGGCCAAACCCAAAGTTCAATTAAGACCTCAATTCTATTTGATACAAGGTGACTTAGCAACAGAAGCTACTCAAGTCAAGGTTAGACACAAGGCCTTTGATCCAGGGACTAATTACAATGAGCTAGTTCCCCATGAACACTGACTTCCAGGACTCCCAAAGGATAATTTACATAGACATTCCTCGGCTCGCCAGAAGGTTCGAAGGCATAGTTCTGGATCAATAGTCTCGTCGTTATCTTCGTCGTATATTCGGATTCTCGCTGATTAGAACGCCGGAAGAAAGACATATGGTGGCCTCCGTGAGGCGATTTGCCAAGGTTTGACGCAAATTTTGAGTCAGCATTACCTGCGTATGTACTCTCGCTGGTACACCGAGAACGAGCACGGAAAATGAGGACGAATAGAAGAAAATGAGGGTCCTAAACGAAGGTAAAAAGGGAAAGCAATGTACAGACGGCACTGGTCGCAGTGGTTGCTATTTCCGGTGCTGAATCATCATCGGCCATTGAGTTCTGCAACGGCCAAGTAAATCTTAGAATTATTTCTCCATGACGAAATCTTGGGACATAAAAGATGCAAGTTGTATTATTTGTAACCTGTATACTGATTCGATGTCCAAAACGCAATAGCGATGTCTAGATAGTAGCAAACATACGAACTTAACTTAGGTATCGTCTGGAGACTGTCAACAACCCATGCCTTTCAACTTGTTCAAAGAATGCAGCACATTTGAACATCAATCCCTCCAGCTTGCCTTCCCACAATGGCCACTTGGCTTTCTCTTCTCCTTCTCCTTCTCTATCCCAGTCTTCTGGGGTTGCCCTGAACATGAGCTCAACCTTGCTGAATTCCATCTTTGATAGAACTGCATCGAGCTCTTTCCACTTGTCTGGACTCCCAGATATGCCAATCAGGTCTTACTCCAATGCAACCTCCTTTAAGCACCCCCCCTTGAGCTTTGGGTAGCATGTATATAAGCCAATCTGTTAGCTCATCATAGTCTTTGCATGCATCTGCCTGATACCAGTGCCAGGGGATGGTCATAAGCAAACAAAGCCTAGTAATGTTTTGGATATCCAGAATGGGTATCTTTGGCATGAAGGCACCTACTAGAAATAACTCATCCAGGTGCATATAAGGAATCACATTGTATTGTGGGATGTTCTGCTCTGGATAGTAAATTGGGTAGGTAAGTCATTGAATATGGGGTGGCATGAGAAGGAGTGGGAGGAGGCACTTGATGGTATTCATGTCCAATTGGATGTTGACTTGGGTAATCACTAATTCTTCAATGTTGAGAGAAACTTCAGATAATGAGGATGTCTCTTCAACAATGTCTATGTCACATAGTGCTAGCTTGTTTAATTTGTGGAACCCACCAAGGAAGGTGCCAAGGTTCATCACAGAACAGTGATTCATTTCCAATTCCTTGACTTGAGGCCAGATGATATTAATGCTGACTAGTTCCACCTGAACAAGATGCAAGAATGTCAAATTCTTCATCATTGCAAAGACAATAGGCAGCTGCAGTTCAGAGGCAATCCATGGATGAGAGGGGACATTGTACCAGTTGGAATTTTTGCTCAAGGTAAGGGTCCTTACAAGTGGCACCACATTTTGGCACTTCTTTGAGAAAATTTCACAGTGATTGAATGACTGATTTGGAAGGAAGTCGAATTGTATGGTGTGGAATAGGTGATAGTGGCTGCAGTGGAGAAGTTGGTGAGAGGACAATGCACAAGCTGTGAGAGAGGGAACATCATCGGAAAGAATGTCAACTATTAGATCTGTGAGTTCTGGCAGTAATCTAGGTATTGAAACTGCATGTTGTAGGTTGTAAGGTAGTCATGGTAGTCATGGACAAAGTTCAGGGCAGGGGCTTTGAGGTCCCTCTCTTTATAAATACTGTAACTGTGACTTATGAGACAAAATTTTCATGTGATTAAGTGTGCTCCAGACATCTGAGAGTTTGACATTTGATTGATTGAAATTCACAAGATTCATGTCCACTCTGGTATACATTGCTAATATTAGTAGCACACTTCACATCTATTGAACCTCACAGGAAGGTATACCCCTGTCTTCTTGAGACATCAATCCCATTCTTCCATTGTTCCAATGTTAAGAATATGATAATCATCATTGGTTGGAGATGAGTCCAAGCTGGCAACCATCTCTTGAATATGAACATTGGACTCTCATTCTTCAAGGAAGCCTTGATGACACAGAAAATCAGATCAGCCAGAAGAAGAAGCTCACATTTGGTCCTGTGCTTGGTAATGGCTGCACAAATAAGACTGAACAACTAAGGCAAGAAAATGAGAAATGAGCTCTCAAACACTAATACTCAATCACTCTAAAGCACAGTTGAAACCAAGAATGATTAAGCATGATCAACTATATCAAATATACTATGCTGGACTCAGCCAATTCAGAAAAGTCTGGAAACTTTGAGATGAATAAAGTACTCAAGTTAGTTCATTGCTGACTAACCACAGACTTCTGGGGCAGTGTAGGAACATAGTAGACTACTATAGAAACACATCACTTGTATGATATAAGTAGCTAGAATTTTTCAATATGAAGGAACTTGCTACAAACTCCAACTACAGTTATGTAATACAACTCTTCTATACCCATCTACAACCCTTATTTCAATCTCAAACCTCAACAAGCACTATCATCAATATTGTTGAGTTTGGGTGTTTCAATAATGATAGAAGCACTCTGCAGACTTGAAGTGATTGTACAAAGACAGTTTATTCAATGCTTGTTTGCTTCTAAGATGAAATGCTCACAACAGCAGTGTGGTTAAGACACAATATATGAATTTAGACTTAAAATTATGAGCTACTGTGCTCAGTCTATCTTAGAATACTCTGAAACCCAATACTAAGTCTCTCAAGCACTTAGACTTGACTAGCTGTGATAATTCTAACACTCACTGGTAGTCCAGACCTTGTTTCTCTTATAGCAAGCAATACATACTAGTAGTGTCGCCATGTTTGAGCCAAAATCCATAGTATCTAGGACTCTGGACATCATCCAGGTCTGGGCTTTACTCTTCAGATGAGTGCACAGGTCAAGCATTGGTACCACCTATTCCTGCCGACAAAAGAGTTGCATTGAAAAGTTGAACTTTAGTGACAACCGACTCATATGGGGTCCAGCAGAGAGTCAGGAGACAGCGATTTACATAAAAACGGTACTCATTATCTGCAGCAACTAAAATCGAACGCGTTAAGTATTCATTCGGCCATAAACCCAACTATATGGGCTTGGGCAGTCGAGGGTTAGCTTCAGACGTGCTCTACCGAGCAATGACCCCTTTCTTCATGACTCCCTGGACGTGGATTATAAAAACGATGTTGTTTCTTCTGTGATTAGCGACAACTGGGTTCGAACCAGTCGAGCCAGAGTTATCTTGTTAGGCTATATGACCGATAATGCGATGGCCGGCCCTCACCCGTACATATCGATCGCCTCGCATTATTTGTGAACTTGGGCTTGATACCCACTGGCAGCCGAGGGTTCGTGTCATACCGACCGTGCAATGACGTGCCGATAAAAGTGTTGTGTTGGCGAATGACCACTGAATACAGTGTGCTCTGGTAGAGTCCCATCCACCACATGTTTCATGACTCCCTGGATGCGGATCAAAAAGACAATTCTACAGTCGGGGGTGATTGGCGGCAACTGGGATCGAACCAGTTGAGCCACTCGGAGTCACCTCGTTCGGCTACACGACCGACGATAAGGTCTCTCGTTTTGAAGATTAATTCATTAGGGTTGATATTCAGTCGAGGGTTCACTTCAAATTCATGGTACCTAGCACCGAAATTCGACACTGCCGATAAAACTAGAAAGAGAACTAAATGTGTGATATATTAACAAAGTGTCCCAGCACTTCTTTCGTGATGCCTCTTTCGATGTGGGTCAAAAAAAGTGTCTCATCATCACATAATCCGCCCCAACTGGGATCGAACAAGTTGAGCCAGGAGTTACTTATTTCAATTCGGCCATATCCCAATACAGCAATCCTGAACAGTCTATATTGATCTATGGCCTTTTCGTTGCTGGTTTGACGATCAACGATGATTTCAAAGGTGAAAATTGGTCAAGTACGAAAAGAAATAATTCTGGATTTTCGTCGGGCTGTATCGACGTGCGTGAATGGCGGAGCCTCTCCTCGAAGGAGGATAGTACGCACACGAGCACTGGAATGATATATTAGGCTTTGGGATAGGAAGAAGGAAGTTTGGGACGTACGTCGATATCCCGTATTGTGAAGTGGTACGCCGACTTCGATGATATCAACCCCCTGTTTAATAGATAGCAAAGACATCGATGTGCCACGGCGACGACAGTTATGCGTAACAGGCCCTCCAGTGCGAGATACGAGGTATTGTGAGACAGGCAGAAGCAAAATCAAGTTTTCCAAGCGCGACCGAGTGGCCACGGCCCGCGAAAGAACAAGTGTAATGCTAACGGACAAGTAGCAGCAACTTGTTTCGATCAAGTGACCTCGGAGTCAAGCAACCATTCCATCGATATATGGGCCCCGCACGCTACCACTGCGCCATGCTGCTATGATACAGCCATGTTAAAACACGAAAAAGCCCACCAAGAAGGCGTGTGTGTCATCTAGTGGCGGAGCCGGCTCGAGGTTGACATCAACATCCTGTGAAAGAAGTACATAGGAAATAAGTAGACGGACAAAAAGAAAAATAGTACTTGTGATTGTAGGCCTTACGAATTCCGCACGGAAGTATTACCATGCAGACTGTACGGCAGCCCAATTGTGGCATCATTGGATATTATCAAACTAGAGATGGCGAAGTGGAGAGACACAGGCCAATGCAGGCTTTTTTTCATGAGCTGATCGCATGGTTGTGGGAAGGCGGGTCGCTCAAACGTTCGGGAAACGTCATCTGATGTTGATACTGCTGCAACTAAAGATAAGGAAAAGGAATCAGATTTGGTAAGAGAAGAAATGAATATGGTTACAATTTCATTCTATCCCTCTGAATATCGTAAAACAACGTCATATTGAATAACCTCTAGTACCTCACAAATTTGAAGAGTTTCACCCTGGAAACGCCGATGTTCCCCTTTCTGCCGGGGAATAATGCCATTTTATCCTTTCGTATACTCTTGCCCTTTTCCCGACGATCTAAAACAAACCGCATCTCGTCGCGGAGCTTCTTGACAGTGACAATCTCTCTCTTCCCAGTCTAATGGGGTTCAGCCGATGACGCTTCATAGGCTAATGCCGACCTATCACGCACTGTGTCAAGACGTTGTCGTCCGTCGTTTTTCCATTCATTCGGTAACTGACGTGTCTGACATTGTTGATAACAGCACATTTGATGGCGCCCCGGTGATCCAGCCCAAGAACACCATACATGGTGGTGTTTGTATTACAGGAGAAGCAAGTGCGTTCGATATCATGTGTGACGGCGAAGCTCCTCGGGTTTATGTCCCAAATTGTCATCCTCCTGAAGCTGAGATTAACAGAGATGTTGATGAACCCTTCCGTCCCTGAAGTCCTCCTGTTGAGAATGAGCCAGTGCTGGGTGCAGTTGGAGACATTGATATCTGTCAAGATTGGGCTTGTCTAAGGATGTTTCAGAGATACCTCTTGGGGAGTATTTTATGTATTTACAGTCGAGGGCTGGATCCCTGCCAATTTATTCTGGCTCAGGTGATGTGAGTATTGAATATGTGGCCAGTATTTGTTCAAGATTCAGACTTTTGAACCACAATTTAGCATAAGACTGGCGATTATAGACGTAAGACAGATGGGCCCAAGTTAGAAGAAGTGATGGGTATCAACTGGAATCGAACCAGTTGCCCCAGTCTGATTTCGTCCAGCCATAAAACCCACAAACTACTGTGGCCTCAACTCAAGTTGCAACTGAGTTGGGACCGAGCAATCGGTATCATTCATAAATCACGCCTTCCAGGCTTCGCATGGTCTCAAGATATTGGAAGCATATGGTATAATGTCACCTGTGGCATATTTACCGTAACCCTTCAAAGGCATCCGTATGCACTTATGTTAGTTCGATCTATCCTCTGCGTTATATCGAAAATCAGCCTCAACTTCGACACGCTCAAAAAACGACACAAAATTTATAGCGAGACCGGCTCTAGGTGTTCTGTTGCAGGGTATACAAAGGACGGGTAATATGGGTTAAGCAAGAAAAGATGTTAGTTTCCCGATTCAATGATGGTGATCGTACTATTGGCACTTCCATTACCGCCAAGAGCGGTTGCAAGGAGCTGGACCTGCTCGTCCCCGAGCGTCTTCAAAGCGTCAATGTCAATGCTCTCCTTCCCGACGCCTGAGGGTACTTTAGACCCAAAGATGATATCTGCACAACCATTAGTATGGAACACGCGTAGACGCCAAAAATTCTTACAGAGGACGTCCAGCGGCGTATGGCCTAGGTTTTAAAAAATGAAAATATGGAATAGAATAGAATAAATAGGCTTACCATTGCCCCCGCTTAGACCTTCATCCGGAAAACATGTCTGAGCTAGCACAAGTGAGGCTTCCCCAATAACTTCCGGGTCATCCCCGCTGCAAAGATATGTTGGCCGCGTATCCACAAGACGAAACCAAAACCGCCTACTTACTTGGTGTCCCCGAAAATCCCATAAAACATCTTTCCGTCACAGATGACAGCACCAAGCGCATTGGGCTTGATATCCTGGTGCGCGTCCCAGAATGTCTGGGGTATAACGTACCATGGCACAGACGAGGCGTCTAGTGCACCAAAGGAGGTTTCTGGTTGACCGTCGGGGTTTCCCTGTCTGGCGTCGTTGGGAGGATGCTGGGAATATGTATACACACGATAGTACGTACCGCACATTGGTACTATAAGACTAAGCATTAGCTCGAGCGGCGACGTGATATGAAGAAACATACGTCGACTCCATCGCAATCCACGTCCATGTCTAGGTTGACATGAAGCGCATTCCACCGGTAAAAGGTGCGATATGCTCACCTGCAACAAAATGGTATGCAGACACACCATCAAGGTTGAGCCAATTCCCCTGGATATAGACGTTGTCTTCGTCCCCCTCGGTCGCGGGGAAGCTATCAATAATACCAGTCCGTGACAGTGTGCTCGCTTGACCAGCGGTGTAGATAGCCGAGACGTCGATGGAGGGGTCCGCGGCGAAATTCGCAGCTGCGGTTGCCAGGAGACAAGGACACAGGAAGAGCCAAGCGAGTTTGGTGTGTAGCATTGGGACGGTGATGTAGGAGCGTAAGAGGCGCGAACTTTATAGTTGCTGTGACAGATTCCCTTGCGTTTCTGAACAACGGTCTGCTTGCTGTCCTTCATCATGACATCGTTGGAAGTCACAGATCAAAAGCCGAATAGAAACCAAGTGAGCCGGCATAGCAGTAACTCAGTAACAGTCCAGCTAAAGACTAAGACTGGACGATCTGCCGAGTCACCATTGCCGGCGATACTTAATTAATCGAGCTGAGGCATTGTCCCAAGGATATATGAACTGAATGAAGTCAACTTCATGTCAATCAACATATTTAGGGAGAGTTGCGACACATACAATATTACTGGAAGAAATCAAATTCACTGTGATGCTGGATGGATGTCTTTATGTTCACGGGCGGTCACAGCAGAGGCAGCCGCGAAGGGAAGAATAGATCGTAGTCTGTAGAGAACAGGTTGGAGACAAAGGCAGCAAAAGAATAAGAACTAACCCGAATAGCCAAGGCCAAGAACATTGGAGAATGCTGCCATTGTAACTGTAAATTAGCGTCGCTAGAGAGTCTGAGGCAACGCGATAAGTACTTGGTTACGCAGTCCGGGTAAAGCCACCGATAATTCCCTGCCATAAAGTTCACATGACCGTGACCGGAGGGATCCGACCTGCCGAAACGGCAATGCCCATCCTTCCTTACTTCCTCTACTTCAAAATTCACATGCACACAGTTCAATTAAGCTGTCCCACATCTAGGCCTAAATGTGCAAAGCAATCTTGATTAAATCAAATTTCATAGTGCATATGAATTTCTTTGTTTTTTCCTCTTGTGAGGTCTGCTTGAAGGCAGTACTCAACAGTCACTAACAATCAGCTGATTCTTGGACTTCATGTCCTCAATTTCTCAAAGTTTGTTCTATCAGAAATCATGACTGTACTGTCTCTGTATGAAGGACAAGTTCTTGCTGAATACTCCTGCACTGTTTGATACCTTCATCCCATCAAAATTGCTAGTTATCAGCCCTTCATTCCAAGGGTTAAAAGTTTTTGAACATGATACAGTTTATGAGCTGATGGTTTTTAATTCCTTTGTTACTTATCCCCTTCTTCTGACTTCACAGAAAAAAAGCAAAGTGTAACTCACTTTCTATCAGTTTTTGCTTCTCTCATGTTTCTCAGATATGTTTTGGTTTCAATGGCTTTGTCCTGTTTCATGTCTGCTTTTCAATGGCTAAACTACATGATAGATGAACCCAAGTATTTCTTGGTAGACACAGACAGCCTTAATGACAGAGGGTTCAAATGTGTTATGATGTTGAAATGCTGTGAAGCAGCAATGGATGAATCAACAATGTGCAGGATGCATACTACTAAAACACCAAAACCAAATCACAATGCAGTTTGAGGGAGGAATGGTAATATCTGGATTCTAAGTATGTAAAGAATGTAACATAGATAGGGTGCCATAAGGGGTTGTTCAAAGATGTATATTGGAGTTTGCTTGGACAAAGCTGTCTGTGTCACTGAACACAACAAAACTTATCTCAAATAGTCTGTCTGGTGCAGGTTCTGAACTTGTACTGACTTCCTGATGCAGTTTCTGGACTGATACAATGCATCTAGTTGTGACTTATACATAATACTGACTGTTCTGAACTGTCTCTGAACTGTCTGACTGTCTGATATAAACTTTTGATTGCTTTCTAAGAGTTCTTTCACAAAATAAAGTGATCTGATCACCACAATACTATTCAGATTGGGTCCATGACTCAAAGCTCTTAGTCAAATACAACCTATACTATTTGCTTGATAGTGTTTTGAGAGGCCCAGAAGCCTGCCCTCTCTCTATATATGACTTTGTATTTATACTTTCTGGCTATCTATATCTGACTAACATAACAGACTACTGACTGATATACTTGCTGACCCAACCAGATATGCTGAACTCACTTTCTGGCAGATATGAGCTCATATGCAGCTATCTGAGTGATCAATCTGGCCAGACCATGGATCAAGCTGTGGAATTTATTGTTATGCCAATCTTTCAGCTCTTATGCCAAGATCTAGTATCTAGCACACTTAGTGAGAATACTGGTGATATGCTGGGTATATGTCCAGCCCTATAACTTGTGAATTCTGCATAACACACTAGAATATGCTAGTAACTGAGGACTATGGCTGAGGCTCCAAGCTGATAGTCATGCTAGTCACTAATACTAAGTCCAAAAGGGACTTTGTAAAATAACATGGTCTAAGGATAAAAATCCTAAGTCAGGTTTGAACTTAGAAAAGTTCTGCATCACATCTTGAAAAATACTAAGTCCAAGTTGGACTTAGAAACAGTACCTCAAATAGGGCCAATTCTATATGCCACTAAGACAAGTATATTCTAAGACAGCTAGTGGTATAATATCATAGCCAGTTGTGGAGTATTGAGTAAAGACAGCACTATCCAGGAGCAGTAGGAAGTGGAACCCAATGATCTGTGGCTAGCACTCTGAGTTTTGACTCAAATGCCTAAGTCTGAATTTTCTAGGTATCAGGTGATCTAAGAGACTTAGAATTGAGAGGAATAGAGTAGATATGACTGGTTGGCCAGGCCTGTTTGGGCCTCATTGATCAAGCTACTAAGAATAACCCAGAAGATTAAAACTCTGGGTAAACATAAAGGAGTTAGATACCCACAAGCACTGTAAGCTTAAAATAAAGCTGTGCAGTGGCCAGGCAGGTCTGGGCAGACCTAGGTGGGTCCAGGAGTGCTGCAAATCCAGAATCATGGTGTGATTCTGCTTTAAACAGGAGAAATACTATTTTGAATGCTTTATTTATAGATTCTGTACCTGTTGTTGATGTATAAAAATAGGGAAGAAGGGGAAGTAGCAAGCAAGTGACACACCTCCACATTCAGGCCTTCTAGCTCACTATAGTTAGTCTCTGGGACAATGGTTTTTGAGTTCTGCTTTGACTGAGTGATTTATTTAGGTTGCTTTGTCACTTAGAGAGGATTGGATTGGAATAATAACTGTATTTTGGGTTTCAGATTAATTTGTGTTCCAAAATATAAGGGTTTCAGTGTCAGAATACAAGTTCTTCAGTTTTGAGGACTGCTAGCCAGCCAAGAGTGCAGCTAGTCAAGCCTAAGTGCTTGATAGACTTAGTATTTGGGTTTCAGAATATTCTAAGTTGATTTAGAGCACAATTGTGCATTGATTCTAAGTCCTAATTATACTTAAACATTGCTATAAACTACTCTCATGAGTATTGCACCTTAGAAAGCAAGATAGAGTTGAATAACTGTCTTTATTGACTGTTTCTTTAATTTTACTTAAGACTGCAAGAGTGCTTCTATCATACTTGAAACAACTGACCTCAACTGTATTTGGTGATTGTGTATTGAGTGGTTAGGTGTTGATGTTTGAGAGTTTATTCCCCATTCACCTCTCTTAGTCACTTAGCCATTACCAAGCACATCAGCAGCACTATATCCATGGCATTGTTCTGTTGTTCTAGAGTACAAGTTGAATAATAGTATATAGGTCAGTTGATGTATAATCTACTTGACTAGTGCATCATAATATCTGCAATGAAATGTTCTCTACTTGATTTTGATAGCCTTATCTTTGAGTGTCTGTCTTGCTCCTCTCTGAAAACAAATTCAATGGTCTCAGTTTATGCTGAATAGGACAATAGCTTCTTCTGCTTTTCCATTTTCTTTCATGTCATGTGTTACAATTTTCACAGTATTAACCCCTATTTATACTTAGTCAGAGTGCTTAAACTCAGTGATTAAGGTTGTGAGACAAAGCTTAGTCATCACAACTGAGCCAAGTTGGTCATTGTCTTTTGATACAACAGCATTGCACAACAATGCACAATCAGCCCTTTATGTATAGTAATAATGTTGAGAGCAGGTTGCATAGCATAGCAGGGAATGCCAGGTCTGGAGTCAAAAGTCAAAAGCTAGTAGATGTTGACTTTCAATCTCCAGTATTGGTAGCTACGATTATGTAAGATAAGAGTGACATGGAGGGTGTGCTACTTCAACACTCCCTCTCGACCGAACATGTCTATGGAGGTATTGAGACAAGTCTGAGTAAGGTAATCATGTGTCTGAGCTTCTCTCTTCCTAATCCCTTTGTCAAGGCATCGGCTGGCATATTTTCAGTTCATAAGTGGACCACATGGATGTGCCCCTTTTCAACTTCATCATGCAGCCAATAGAATCGAAGGTCAAGGTGTTTAATCTGGCCATGATGTTCAGGGTTTTGAGCAACCGACAGAGCAGACTCATTGTCGATATAGAGGACTGAGGCATTGGTGAGTGAATAGCCAAACTCTGTGAACAAGTTGCAAAGCCAAAGGATTTCCTGACCAGCAGACACAGCTGAAATGTATTCTGCCTCTGTTGTTGAGAGTGTCACAAATGCCTGAAGACGACTCATCCAGCTAATGGCTCCAGTACCCATTTTGACAATGAAGCCACTTGTAGAATGCCCACTATCTTTGTCGCCCCCATGGTCTGCATCACAATAAGTCTTAAAGTCAAAGACTGATGAATCTGACTCAGAGTCAGGAGAGTAGATAATATGATAGTTGACTGTGCCCTTCAGATAGCATAATAGCCGTTTGAGAGCTTCCCAGTGGGCTGTGCTGGGGTTTTTGCTGAATCATGAGAGTATGCTCACAGGATAGGCAACATCAGGCCTGGTAGCAATAGCGAGGTAGGCCACAGAGCCAAGCACATTCAGGTATGAGATTGTCCACATTGTCTCATATTTCTCTGGTGTTTTGGGAGACTGATCTGCTGTAAGTTTTATGTTTGGATCCAAAGGTGTCAGAACAGGATTGCAGTTGGCCATTCCTGCACATTGCAGAATATCTAGGATGTATTGGTGCTGGGAGAGAGAGAGTGTTCAGTTGGCTTGGTCACACTTGATCTTGACACCAAGGAGGTAAGACGTTGAACCCAAGTCTCGAAGCTTAAAGTGCTTCTTGAGATCATTGATGACCTTTGCAACACCATCTGGTGTCTTTGTGGCAATAGTCATGTCATCAACGAAGACTGGAATAATGATACACTCACTGTCTCTCTTGTAAACCCAGACACTATGCTTGCATTTTACCTATTCAAAACCCATGGCATTGGTCAATGTTGCATGTAGCTTTTTATGCCATTCTCTCCCAGCTTGCTTTAGT